ATTAAATTGAATGTATTTTTAAAAAGGACTCCTCAAATTGTAGAAACTTCAGGCCCTACAAAATCAGCATGTGCTCTGACCATAGCAGCGAAAACAAACGAGCCTCAGCTACTTGCACCAATGTGGGTGACTCTCAAAAATATAACACTGAGTAAAAGAAGCAAGTCACAGAAAATAAAAATCCCACAATATGACTCCATTTGTATGTGGTCCAAAACCAGGCAAAACTAAGTACATGGGGATAAGTCCATCTATGGGGAAACTATAAAGAAAAACAAGAGCATTGTTTACATAATTCGAGGGTGGAGGTCCTGGGGACTTGATCAGGGAGGGCACACAGGGGGCTTCGCAGGCATTCATTGGTGGTGTTTAGGTTAACTTCGGTGGTGGGAACACAGTTGTTTTTCATATTAGTTTTAGAATCGTAAATATGTTGCATACTCTCTAGTATGAATGATATTTGTCATAATTAAATTTTATTTTAAAGTAACTGGATTAATTTTTTAAAGGAACACATTTTGAGCTTAAAGTTCTGCAGTGGCTTCTCAGTGCACTTAGAACGAAATCCGCACCCCTGGCCGTGACTAAAATCCCCACGTGTCAGGCCAGTTCACCTCTCTGATGGCATCTCACACTGCACCTCCCTTCATTGTTCTCATCCAGCCACACGGCCTTCCCTGGCACCTGCTCTAAGCCCGCCTGTCACCCCCTCTCACGGCTCCCTGTTATTTTCCTTCTTGGAGCTTGAAGCAGTCACAATTTTCAATGATATCAATGCTGTCCTCCCCACTGGACTCTGAGGCCCAGGAGGCCAAGCGCCTGGTCTGTGAGGGTGCCCACCTGGGCCTCTTCCACTTCTGAAGGGCTTTGTCTTGTACAGTTGGAGTCAAGGCTCACACTCTGTGAGGCGGACGAGGCAGATGGGAGAGCGGGGGCTCCAGAAAGAAAGGGAACAAGGCCTAGAGATGGAAGGGTGGGGGAGGAGGAGGGGCCAGCAAACGTAGTCCCCTCAGGAAGGATGGCTGTTATGCCCTGGAGGGCTGAGTCCCCTCCTCTCAACAAGGTTCTGTGGTTATTCTTTCTCTGGGGACCTGCCAGAAACAGGAGCGGCCCCTCACCCTGACCAGGCTTAGTATCACTAAGACTTTAAATTGAAAAGCGATGGTCATTTAAGGATATGAGGGCTCTAACAGAGTCCAGCCAAAGGGTTTTTACAATGTCCCTTCCTTTCTTACCAGTCACACTGCTGCAAAGTGACTGAGAGGTACCCACATTGCCTCTAGCTCCCTGCCCAAGGAGGGATTTCTCAGACCTGGATGGAAGCTGGGTTTCACTTGGTGCCACAGTGGGTGAAGAGATGTTGCTCATATCCCCCAGTTATGCATGTGGGTGGCCGCGTTTGGGAGGCAGAATAACGACTCCCCAATGATGTCCATGCCCCAATGGAACCTGTGAATATGTTATGTGCCACATGGTAAGGGGGAATTAAGGTTGCTAATCAGCTAACCTCGAGATGGGAGATTATCCTGATTATCCGGATGGGCCCAGTGGAATCTCAGAGGTCCTTACATGGAGGAAGAGGGAGGTAGAAGAGTCGGAACCAGAAATATGAAAAAGACTCAATAGATCGTTGCTGGCTTTTACAATGGAAGAGCCCACAAGCCAAGGAAAGTAGATGCCTCTGGAAGTTGGAAAAAGAAAAGGAAAAAAAAAAAAAGCAGAAGGAATGCTCACCTGTCCAACTCCTTGATTTTAGCCCAGTGAGACCCATTTTGGACTACTGACATCTAGAACTATAAAATAATAAATATGTGCAGTGGGAAAGTCATTGCTTGGTATCCGTCAGCGGTCACCCTCCTTCAGGCTGACCCACCTTGGACAAGTCCTTTAGCCATTCTAGACCTCCTCTCTGAACAGTGAAGATGTTATGCATCAAAGGTTCAATAAATGCTGGCACGTGCACACACGCACATTAATAAAACATGACCCCTGGCCTTCTAATGCGATTTACACTTTTCCATATAGGATTTCATTTCACCCTCACACCTACCCACAGGTAGGTACAACCCACTTTTTGCAGGTGAAAAGACAACAAGGAGGCCTGGGTCACTCTCCGCGTCACTGGACGAACAATAACCAGTCTCCCAGGCTGGCGCGGGTCCTGGGCGGGGGGCGCAGTGCTGTGCTCAGCTTCCGCCGGTGGACTACATTTCCCAGGAGGAGTTGCCCGCAGTTCTGCAGCTTCGGGATTTTAAAGGGATCGCGTTAAAGGGGGCGGAGGGAGTTTCGTCGTCTTCTCTCCAGAAAACAGCTCTGCGCTAGGTGGGGGCCCGAGAGCTGCCTGCTCGCTTCTCCGGCGAGGCCTGGCCCAAGTCAAGAAACCCCCAGGCTCTGCGGTGTCAGCGAGGCGTGGTGAGGTCAAGCCAATCTGGAGGAAGCCTTTCCTCACCTTGCCCTCCTTGGCCTCGGACTCTGCGCCCAACTCCCGAGCAACCCCTCCGGACCCTCCTCTCCTTTCAGTTCTCCTGAACAGGGGGCAGTGAATCCGGCTGCCAGGAGGGAGGTGGACTGTCCGCCGGCGGGAAGCCCCTGTGACCTCTAAGCAATCTCTCCCTCCATTTCTGGCTTCAGTTCCGGGAGAGAATTTACAGGTCGCTGGAATGGGCGGGGATAAGGATGCCATGTGAAGGCCTAGGGGCGCCAGGAGCTGAACCTCACAGTGCGCCCCCCTAAACACCCTTCCGAGTCTTGCGGCCTCCACGGTAAAATGGGTGATGGCGGGGCGCGGGGAGTGACCACGTTTCTTGCCTCCCCAGGCTGGAGGCGCAAAGGATCAAGAAATGGGTGGAGAGCACTTTGCAAACTGTAATGCGCCAATGTAAATAAAATTATTTCGTCATCGTGCCTTTGGATTTATCGAGCTCTTATTCTGAGATGTGCACGGACCTTAGGGGGCGGGGCGGGTGACATACCTCTGGGAAGGCAGGCTGGAACATCCTGAACCTGGAGGTGTCTGTTTGGATACCTATTTCCCCATCCAGATCTTAGTGGGAACCAGAATTGTCTTTGAAAATAACCAAAACCAACCCACCAGAGTGTTATGTTTTCAAATCAGGAAATTTGGGGGGTGGGGGGGGAGACTGACATCATCTAAATAAGAACCTTGACCTTTTGAACTAACCTGACCCTTCATGGCTTCTCTTCCCTACCATATCTGTGCTACCAAGATAACCCCGGGAGAAGGCATCTGATACCAAGTCTCAGGCCTCCCTCCCCCAATCATTTGGGTTAATCCATTCCTAGGTGTGTGTGTGTGTCGGGGGGAGACCCACTAATTTCCCCGGCCTCAGAGCCGCCCAAGTCCAGGACCAGCCCTTCTCACCCCTGCTCTGACTCCCATCCCTTATCTAAACCCTCCAACCCTTTCCTCCTCCCTCCCCAATTGCCAGTGTCTGCAAACAGCTCCCGGGCACTACTGGAGACATGTTCATCATTTTACCAGCTATATCCCCCAACTCCCAGGGTATTGTTTTGAGTGAAGAGTGATAGGCCTCTGCTTAAGGAATAAGAAGAGCAGGTTTGTTGTGGGAGGGGGCTCACGGAGCAAGCATCCCAGAATCTCAAGCGGGATCCTGCAAGTGAGTAGTATGTCTCTCGCAAACAAGGCATCCTAGGAGCTCTGGCGTCCTTTCCACTGGCCCGTGGGCTCCTAAAGCCCCTCAGAGCCCCCAAGACTCCCTACATACTGTGGCGCCCCTTGTTTGCCTCATCGATACCTGCCAAGCACGGGAGAAGATGTATACATTTTAACAAAGACATCGCATCCTCCCTCCTCCCAGCAAAATGGCGGTGGTCCCGGCCCCGGTTCCCCGAATGACTGCACTTTCCGAGGATTAGTCAGGACCCAAGGAACGCGACCCTCTCTTCGACCTCTTCTTCAGATCCCCGTTATTCTAGGCTCCCAAAGCACTCAGAGCCTCCTTTCATCCCAGGGGCCCCCAGGACAGTCTCAGGCTAGAGCCTGTGGGGCAGCTCCTCCATTGTGGTCCGCCCGCCCCCCTTAATTTCCCCCCACCCTCCTTCAAGGGCACTTGGGAAGGGGACTGGGCCCCCAAGCCTGGGCCTCAGGGGTGGGGGCAGCGGGCTCTGCCTCTGACACCCCAAAACTCCTAGGCTGAGGGAGGTATATAAATGAACTCCCGGTTAGGATATATGGGGGATGTGGGGATCTTTGATGAGAAGAAGCGACTCGTTAGACCCCACTTCATTACCTCAGGGGACTCAGACAGCGTTGGGGGTTCGGCCTCATGAGAGACCCTCGACCGCAGAGGTCAGGGGGCGCACTGGGGGAGAGCAGATGGAGGAGGGGGAAGGGACAAAGTTTGAAAGTGCCCTTCTAACTCTTCCAGGGAAAGTTTGCTTAGGGGCCCAATAGACAGAGAAGGGGTAGAGGTGCTGGGGGCCCAGTGGCGGGATGACCCCCGAGAGGTGACCGGACCCCGGGGGAGCGACCCCTCCCCCCTGTCCCGGCTCGGCCCGGCTGGGAGTCGCCCGGCTCGGGGCCGCGTGTGTTAGTTGGGGCCGCTTTCCGGCCGCTCCGCCGGGCTGGGGGACCCCGCAGCGGGCCGGGAGCGGGGTCCCCGGTAGCCCCAGGGGGGAGCTTTGCTACGGGGTTTTTCCCGCACCAAGGCTCCCTGGCCCCGCAGAGCCAGCCCCCCGCAAAGGGGAAATGTGCCGGCGCATCAGCGGTCCTTGGCG